TTGTGCACAACCTGGGGTCACAGAAACCAGTTTCCTCAGGAATACTGGCCCAAGCTGGACTTGGGTGTATAAATCACAAGAATTGAGCTTAAAGGAGCAGTAACACACCCAGTTGAGAAAGGAAAGAAGAGAGGAATGATCCGTGTGACATGATTTCTTTATGTAGAAAAGCATGTCTGAGAAGGGTAGGACTGAGCTGAACATGGAAGGCTCAACTGAAGTCACCTGTGATGAGGCTGGGGGGACACAACCATGGCCCTGCCAAGCTGCCTGCAGGTTTTGCTGCCTTCTGAAAAATTGTTAGAAGCACAGCAGTGCTGGAAAGCCATGAAAGCAGCATCCTGCATAGGCACTAAGGGGAAATACAGCAATATTGTCACTGTCATAGCACCAGCGTGGGCTTGTGTGTTGTTAAATGTATTTTTGTGCTGTCTCCTAGCCATAGACTACACAGGCTGAGTCAGCTGCCACCTAAACAATTGGTAAGACCTAACAGACAAACAAAAGACTTTGAAATATATTAAATGCTGGGCTGTGATTTGATCTGCCCTGCAGCAGGTCAAAGGTGCATTCCAGAGAGATGTTTGCCCCAGCCACTGGAAGAATTGTAAAATTAATGTAAAAAGTAATGTATTCAGTGTAGTATCTCTCATGTTAGCTCAAGTCTGCTTTCAGAAAAATGCACAGTGTACTGTGAAGTCAGCTTTAAGTACATTTACTTACTCAACAATTATTAGCAAAAACAGGCATGGAGTTGTTCTTTCATCTTTTGTTTTGCTTTGTTTGGGGGCATTTTATGTTTGAGGAACATTTAGAAGCAGAAGGTCAGGAAAAGAGATTTCTCAGACTTTGTGCTTACTTGACTCTTTATCAGGTGAATATCTTCATCCGCTTAAAGAAGAGCAGTAACATTTACTCTGAGCTTGCCTAAGTGGGGAAGCAAATCTCTGATGCTCCCCTTGAACAGGGGATGTGAGTGTGTACTAATGAATAAGGGCATGAGCTGAAGAGAGTTGTGCCCTGGGCCACTCTGGGTGGAAATAAATATTCAACATTGCATTATCTCACTGCTGCTGGCACGTGCACCTTGCTGACCCCCTGGTTTGCAAACTGCATGGTCAGAGAAGCAAAACCAGTACCAAAGGCTGTTCTTCAGCAACTACCATGCTGGCTAATGTTTATGTTCTGTTTCCAGCTGTAATTGTTGGCAATACCATGTCAAAGTAGGAAAGGGGGAAGTTAAATACCTTGTAAGATGTGCTGTAGGTGTACTCAGAGCATTCTTTGTTCTTACAATCTTAAGAACTGGGATTTTTTTCCCCATCCTGAAAATTGTGCTTTAGCTGGATTTTGAGTTACTTTTCAGTTACAGCAGCCAAATGAAAGATATTTCAAGCATGACTGCAGAGTATGGATAGATCAGGAAACAGTTTTAGGTGAGATTTCCAAATTGCAGTTCACCACCCCAGACCCCTTTTGACATAGTTTTGCTGACAGAAACCAGTAATAGGTCTGGTGATTGCTCACTGGAACCTACAAACTCAACCTTCTTTGGGCTGCTCTCTTGTTTCTTAGTGCACACAGCAGGCAGATAAGTTTGAACCATTAAAATAACATTTATGTGATTGTTTAATGCTACTGTGTAACAGGCTTGTGTGTATAAATCACAGGAGTTGAGCTTAATTGAATAATAATGTAATAATCACATTGAGAATGGATGAAGAGAGGAATTATGGTTGTGAATTTTTTCAGGAGGGAAAAGTAAAGTGATCTGGGGCACTGTTTCCATTTGTTCTCCAGATTTTCCATGTGACTTTGGATAGAAGGGTTTTTGGTACCTTTTGGTACCTCAGTTTCTTCTCCATTAAATTAGAATTCCAAACTCATTCCTTTAATTGTGCCAGTTGAGTGTAGAGAGAAGAGCTGCAGACCCACAGCTACCAAAAGGCCAGAAAATTGCAGAGCTGGTTTTGAGAGATGCCACTGCCACCAGCCAAGTTTGTGAATGTAGGTACCTCCCCTGCTTAAAATGTTTTAGACAATTATATTAGGAACCAGGCTGCTGAGTGTCCAAGTGCCACAAAGATTACAGCTCTAGGGTCTTTCATGTCCAAACAGGTTTGAAACTGGAGACTTGTATTCCTCATTTACTGAACAGATTCTTAAAATGCTGCTAAGTCATAATGTTTCTGTTGTTGTTGTTTGTTTTGTCTAATTAGACTCTAGCAGAACAATTGCAATCTCTTTAACTTTGTGTTTTGCTGTGCTAGATACACATAGCCCTGATTTTAGTTATTCTGGAGATGGAAGTTCAATAAAAATAACAATAGTTTTACTAATGAGGATAACTATGTGAAGCCAGGATTCATGCTAAATTAGTATCTATTAGTGGCTTAGATCTATAATGAAGATTTCCTTGCCCTCTGTGTGTGTCTTAATTCATTACAGAGAAGTCCATTATATTTTATAAAAAACATTTCGACTTTTTTTTCCCTGAAGCTCTTGCCCAAAACTATTGGAAAAGCAGGTGCTTTCCTGTAACATCAGAATGAGACAAATGGCACTGCTTGCTTTTATTGTTGTACAGAAGTGGTTTTCCTTTGGACACAGATGGACTTGGCAATGGAAAGTAGCTGGAGACTAATGGACACAAGCTTCAAAGCTTTCTGTGTGGGCCCTTGGAAGACAAAAAAAAAAAAAAAAAAAAAAAAGAAAAATCTCATTTTTGTTCTAATCAGTCTGGGTTAGAAAGAAAAGTACTCCAGCTCCAGGCTCATGGGGAACCTCTTGCCTTTACTCAGAGGCAGAGTGGTGTCCCTGTATGCATCTGCAGGAGAAAAATGAATAAAAAGGTAAAAAGGGAAAAAATGAGGCAGAGGAATTTTGTGCTCTGGAGACTGTGTAATTCACCTGTCTACAGGTATTTATTCTTTAGGAACATTTTCAAGTCAGAGCAGAAGAAATGCGAAAATTGTTTCAAGGAGTCCCCATACTTAAGAGTTAAGTGAGTGGGAACTGTGTTAATTTGAATGTGAGTAAAAGTAGTTAAATTCAGATCCCTTTTCTAATTTGTTGCATCAGAATCTTTCTCAGATCTGCTCCTCCATTATCTCATCAAATAGTCTCTATTTATTCATTTATTTATTTCTTCACATACATTGAGGAAGAAAAGGGAAGGAGTCACTCCCCCCAGTGAGGACCATCTGCTCTTTTCTTATTGGGAGGGAAAAAACCCTACAATTAGTGTCTTGTTCATCTTTTTGTTTTACTAAAAAAAAAAGAGGGGGAAAGAAAGTAAAAGAACTATTATGCAAATATCTGCAATTTGGTTTCAAATATTCTTTGTACTATGATGAGCAATTTCCTTTAATACAAACTCAGCCTACTTGCCAGAACCATTTTTTTTTAATTTTGCATTAATTTAGGGAAGGGAAAAAAAACCCAACTTTTATGTTCTTCTGGTGGCAAATTTGTCTCATCCTTTTTATTTTTCTTTCTTTCTTTCCTTGGCACTATTACAGTTGTTATTCTGTAAGTTGTCAGATGTCATATTGGGGTTTTTTGAGGAAAAAAAAAAAAGAAATCAGCCAAAATAGCCTTACAGAGCCACAATTCCATCTCACTTTTCATTGTTCCATTGCCATGATGAAATGGTCTTGAAATGGCGGACTCAGAGAGAGAAGAGCTTTCTCCTTGCTATATTTGAATGCCAGTTGCTTGTGATGGCAGCATTACCTCTAAGAACAGTTATTTAGGAGTTTTATAAGGAGCACCTGTGCTGCTGGTCAGGAATGTGAACTCTAGGGTCAAATAGCATAGCCAGGATTAAACCTTGTGGTCCTTGGTCCTGGCCCATCTTGGTAGCTGAAACCTAGCATGGTAGCTGGAAGGTTCTCAGTAGTCTGGAAAAGGGAAATAAAGTCTTTTCTGTGTGAAAAGCTAAAGTGTGGAAAAACCAAAATGAACTCATCCAAGACCTGATGGGAGAGGTGATGGAAGAATCAGATGCTGAGCTAAGAGGCTCAGATTTAGAAAGCAAACATGGTGTAAATGACTTCATAACCTGTGGCTGTAACTGGAAGATTAACTCCCAATATGCAAATGGACCACACTTATAAAAGTGTGAAAACCCATGGGCCATCATCCACTTTTTGGGTGTACCCCTGGGTGGGCTTCCTCTGCCTTAAATGTTCCTGAAGGCCTTCAATGAATATAGGTGCTTTTTAGTCCCTTAATTTTGGCTGGCCTCTGTTTGTCGGTAGTGCCAAAAAGGCATTAAAACAAGACCAAGGAGATTTAAGTGAAGTGTAATAAACCTGTATCTTTATTTCTGTGGCTGCAATGGGACAGGGAATGTGGGCAGTGCAGAATTTTAGTTTGTGCAGACTCTTGTTTTTGGAACTCAGAACATCAAGTTGGCATTACATCAGCCTGGAGGTTCCCTAGAAATGCCTAGCACTGGACAGACAGGAATTCATGGTGCTTAGGGGACACTGATCCCCTTTAGTCACTTGAGTATTGGAATAAATCACGCAGACTCCATTTTCTTCATGGTGGAAAAACCCCATTCTTTATTCACATAACTCTTTTTTATACCGTTTTATAGACTTTGTGTGTGACTTTAATTGGTTAGTACTTTTCTTGCTAATTACATAATTGGTTAGTAACAAGTTGTTACTCTTTTTAATTGGTCTCTTAAATTCTTGAAGTCTATGTGCAGGAGAAGTTGTGAGGGATAGAAAAATGAAAATTATCTAATGGTATAAAAACAGTTTATACAGGTGCTGCTTGTTTTTCACCCAGGAATAGATTGTTATGTTAATGAACTGCTCACACCAGGATTGCTTTCACATGGGAACTTGCAAAGGGCTAGCCTGACAAGGAGAGCAGGCTTGATTTTATGAAGCCTTTCTTTATGATTTTCCTACCTTAAAACAACTCTAGTGCATCAAGTCTTTGAGCACACTGGGGTAACCTTTGGGTCACTTTTATTGTTACAGGAAGCTCTCATCATGGCCAGCATGGACCACCCACACCTGGTGAGACTCCTGGGTGTCTGCCTGAGCCCCACCATCCAGCTGGTCACTCAGCTGATGCCTCATGGCTGCCTCCTGGATTACGTCCATGAACATAAGGATAACATTGGCTCCCAGCTCCTGCTGAACTGGTGTGTTCAAATAGCTAAGGTATGTAGTTCATATTGGAGTTTCTGAATAATTTCTTATCATTTTCATAATTAACTTTAAAACATGACTTTGTTTGCATTGGGTTTTTTCAGGCCTGTTTTTGTTTCTGAGAAGGTTGGATAGTTCTTGAAATACACACTATTTTGGCTGCTTTACAGTATTATAGATGACTTGTCAATATGTGAACCAAAGTGTTTTTCTTGACTGTTGTCTTGGTCTGAAAAGACAGGTGTCTGCTGAGGAAGGCAGGAGCCTCCCTTGAAATGGAAAATGTAAACACCTTCCTTCTGAATTATTATAAATTTGAAATTAAGGGGCTCTCAGGCAAAGATATGGGAGTAGGAATAACAGTTCTTTAATAGGGAAATTAAAATAATAATGCAGTAATACAAAAAAAATGGTGACAGAGTCAGAATAGGACCTGACACCATGTGGGTCAGGGTGGTGGCACAGTCCCATCCCATGGTGGCTCAGCCCTCCTGCAGTGCCAGCTGTGGTTCTGCTGGAGCAGGGATCCTGCACAAGGGGGGAGTTTTCCTCTGAAGCTCCAGGGCTGCTGGAGATGGGCCTGGGCTCCCTCTGGGAATGCAGGGGAGGAGAAAGCTGCTCCTCTGGGAATGCAGGGGAGGAGAAATCTGCTCCTCTGGCAATGCAGGGGAGAGGAGAAAGCTGCTCCTCTGGGAATGCAGGGGAGAGAAAGCTGCTCCTCTGGGAATGCAGTGGGCAGAGGCTGCTGTGCTGTTCCAAGTGTCAGATTGTATCCAGGTAGGAATGCTTGGCTCCTCCCCTGGGCAGAGCATCTCCCAATGGGATGATGGAATTTTATCAGCCATGCAGGGACACTCAGTGGCCATGAACAGAAGAGATCTCCTGGAGGGAGGATGGGTTGTGGCAGAGATAAAACTGCCCAATGAACAGAAGAGAACCGCCCCACCTCTAACAGATGGGAAATAGAATACCCCCAAACCACATCTTGCAACCCAGGACTTTCCAACTCAGTGTTACTGAGGGGTTGTTTCTCAAGGCAAGGGTGAGTGAGGGAAGAAGCTCCTGTGTGAAATCTGGGGCTGGACACAGGGTGATGTTTCAGCCTCCTCTGTTGTTCACTGTTAGTACATATACTGGTTTTCAGCCCTTCTGGGTCTGCATTGCCAGATCTGTCATATATTGTCTGCCAGAAAGATAAACACATCCTTCATGTCACTCCTCAGGTGGTGATCCTGCTATGTTGGGGTCACAAACTATCCTTGGCACAATGTTTTACAGCTGGTTTTAGGCATGTTTAGGTATTCAGTGTTGTACTAAGAACAAGTACTCAGCACTAAGAAAATTGTTTGCAAAGAATAACAAGTTCTTTCAGTGTAGAAGGCCATAACTTATCCATTTTAAAGGTGCTTTTGAACAACTAGGGTTGTTTACTACAAGTGGCAATTTGGAGCCTGCCTTTTGCATTGAGTTATTTGGAAGTTGTTTTTTAGATTATTTTGGAGAAAATGCTTGTTATAAACACATGCCCACAGACTGCTATCTTACATTAAATCTGCAGCCTTAAGTGAATTTCCTACAACACCTATTACAAAATCTTAATTCAAGTTGTAATGTTAATCTTTTGTAATCAAGTTCTAATGTTAATCTTTTAGCACTGGAAGAGAAACCTGGAGATTCAGCAATTGTTTTGCTAGACTCAATATTAAGTAAACATTTGCCTCTTTCAACAACTTAAATACAAAAAAATGTTCTTATAAAAGTAAGAAAATGTAGAAATCCAGCTAGCCCTTTGTTGTTCTTCAGGAGGAGCAGAATTTTGAGGAGCATCACGAATAGGGACTGTTTTCTTTCCAGAATCAGATCTGTTGTTAAACCTTCCTGACGAAGAAAGTAGATAAAGTGACTGTAGGGCTCGAGAGAGGTGGGGGGAACCCAAATCTGACATTGCAGCATTTTGTACATGTGTGCATGTCCTGTGTTGTGGTGGTAAAGCAACCAGAGTTGCTGGGGAGTACAGGAACACACCAATGGGAATTGCCTGTATGGAGATGTGCAAAGGTTTATTTAGGGCTGATACCAGACCAGGCAAGGTGGGAGACAAAATCCATATTCCTGTTAGAGCCTTTCTCTCAACACAGCCTCCTCCCCATCTGTTCTCCACTCTTTTGATAGATAGTGGCTGTTATTGTTTAATGCAAAACATTTACACAGTGCCATCCCTGCAGAGGTAATCCTCCATTTTCACTTTGTGTGTGCATGTGGCCCTTGACTCCTTGGTCCAGGGCTGTGCTGGCTTTGCTGTGAGCCCTGTAGTGGAGCAGACAGCCTGATCCACAGCTTACAGAGCTGGCAGATCTCTGGGAGGGCCTGTGGAAGGAAGGTCATGGCTTTCCCAGGGTGGTTCTTACCAAAGTGTGTGTTGGTGGTTTTTCACAAACATGATGGGACTGCTGGTGTTCATTCCTTGAGCTTTATTGCAACATCAGCCTCATTGCATGGCTGAGACAATTGGAAGATGGCAAAGCTCACATACAGCCAGCAGCAGCCAAAGATTTCTTTGTTACAGAGCATTTTAAAAACTTTCTACCCAACAGCACATTGCTAAAGCTCACAGGCAGTTGTTCTAGCCAATCACTAAAAGCACATGTACACCTGCTTCACACAATGCTTGCTTGTATTCTTTTTATTAACAATACACAATACTTCATTATTAAGCTTAAAACCTCCTGCTATCTTGCTAAGCATATTTTCCTGCAGTCCTAAAGTCTATCTTAGCTAAGCCTAAAACTCAAGCTATAGTTTCATACCCTTGCTTTTTATACTATTGTAACTTTTTCTATTTTCAAACTTTACAGCTGCAGCCAGCTCTGAGTTTTCTATTCCTGCTGTTTCTAAAGCCTATTTTTACACCTTTCTAGAAATCTTTTTACCTTTACTATTTCCCACATTGTGAAGCAGCTTCTAAACTGATTGCTACTGTACATGGCTTCAGCTTAATGTGGGGTTTGCATTTAGGGACATTCCTTGGGAAATTGTTGATGCTGCTTTCTTGGTCACCCCTGTGATGTGGGAGGAGAAGATGAGGTGTCACAGACATGTGAGATCTGAGGTGGTAACCAAACAATGCAAAGAAGAGAGATCTGAAATGTAATATCAGCTGGTGCAGTGTCAGGAAGAGAAAGGGAGTTCCTTTATAATAAAAGGTGGCCTGTTATTGAGACAGTTTAGTGAAGTTTATTGAAAATTAATTAAATTTGTGTTCTTACACATCACAGTAATCATGTCAAGTGTGATTAGAGGGTGTGCACAAAAATCACAGTAATCATATCAAGTGGTTAGAGGGTGTGCACAAAAGAGGGGTTAGAGGGTGTGCTCAAAAATTGTTTCAACTATGGTAAGAGGAAAAAATCTTTGAGATCACCAGACAAGGAGTTCCCAAATAGTAGAATGAAAGTAATACCAATTTTCCATTAATCTGTCTCATTTAACAGTGACTAGGAAACAGGAAAGGTACCGTTTGCCTTGAAATAAACTGTTCCCCAGAGGAATGAGTGCAGAAGGCAACAAATTCCCATCACTGCAGGAAGGCGCACATGTGTGTTCCACACTCCTGTACCCACTGTGCCTGTGTTTCAAGTGCTCTCATACAGCTTGGGAGTGTCTCTCCACATGTTGCTTTTCTAGGCTGTGGGGAATGATTGGTTGTGTCTTTCTGCAAGGTACCAAAAGCATGATTAGCCGAGTAGTAAGAGCCAAAAATCATCAGTGACTTCCCAGTCCTGTTCTCTGCTCCCTGAAGCAGCTCCTGGTATCTTTTGCTAGAGAGGATTTTTCCCAGCAAGAAGAGGACTAAAGCCACTGGAAATGCCTCAGATCTGAAGTTCAGGCTGATTTTTAGGAATTGTTTAAAATCAAGTTGCTGTTGTGACACAGTCCCTCCCTAACTGTGCTTTTCTCCATCTGCCAGTGTGCAGGCACTTATTTATGGAAGTCTTTCTTCAGAGCTCACTTGTTCTGCCAGGCTGTTCATTTCCATATGTCTCTACTTCTGTACAACTAGATGCAAAGCTAGTTAGCCACAATGCCTGCTTGCCAACCCACATATGGCTCTGGAGATAGCTTCTGAAGGTTGATGACAGGGCAGTTATAAAGCATTATCTACTGCCAGTTGGAAAAGGCTTAGATGCTTTTTCTCTTTGCTTATACAGATTGTGTTGAATTTATTCTGATGTTACATCATTGTAGGGTAATTGTGTTCTCCTTCCAGAAGCTTTAGCTTCTTATTTTATGGATGAGAGCTATAAAAATAGAGTAGCCCCCAAGCATTCTGCATAAAACATGGTTGTTAGACAGCAGCTGTCTCTGAGGGGGCTCTTCCCTTCTGCTCTGCAGATTCACAAGGCTTCTCCTGGTGTCTCACTTCCATGGGGACTGTCTTGCTTGGAAATGAATGTTTAACCTTTTAGCTCTGAGATCAGCACAGCATTTTTATGTGGAGTTTGCTGTCCAGTAAAGAGTGAACTGTGCTCATGTATCAAGGTATTCTGTAGTGGGAGCAAGAGTGCCCACATAGGTGACCTCAGGAGGGAATAGTACTTCATGACCACCCTTAGTGTTGGCTCCTTGAGAAGTGGGTTGAAACTCCAATTCTGTATGGATGACACAAGCCTGGAAGTGAATTCCCAGCAGGTGAATCCTTCTCAGCCAGGGTGTGACAGGGTGACAGGTATATAAAAGTCAGGAAGATATAGGGGGATACAGTATGGGTAAATGAAGGTGGTATAGAATGTAATCTTATCCCCTGAAGAGTTGCAGCTGAACCAATTACTAAAGATTAGGAGCAGGCCTGATGTTAACAGGCCACAGCTGTGGCCAATAAGAACAGTAGTATAAAAGAGTGGATTGGTGGGATCTGGAGTCAGATGGCTGCTGCAAGGACCAGGAACAGTCAGTGCTTTAGAGGAGTTGCCTATGAGAAACATGGAGAAGGTACGAAACTCTGATTATATGGA